TCACAAGTCTCACTCACCCAGTTTGTACACACAAGATTAATGATTATTGCTTGAATCAGTTATTACCATGATAGTTGTGAAATTTCCTAATTCCATGATTCCTTCTATATTTACTAGTTGGAATTCTATGGTAAAGAAGAACTTTTTCCTCTCCCTCATTTAGTCATCTGTTTAATTATAGAGCAGCATAATCTTTTATTTATATTATTTATATATAACATAATATATAAATATGTATATTATATCATATATTATGTATATAAATATATTATAAACATATATAATGGAATGATCAGACGATTTGAACATTCAAATAAAGGCTTTTTTTTTTTTTTTTTTGCAAATTGCCCATATTATCCCTGTCCTCATACATGTCCAGCCTCCCCTGTTATCAACATCACTAACCAGAATGGTACCTTTTTTCTTTTTAGCAAGAATGAACACATCATGATCAACCAAGGTCCATCGTTTTCACTAGGGTTCACTCTTGGTGTTGTATATTCCATGGGTTTTGGCAAATGTATAACGACATATAACCATTATTATAATACCGTACAAAGTATTTTCACTACCCTGAAAACCCTCTGTTCTCTGCCCATTCATCTCACCATGCCACCTTGCAGCAACCTGATCTTTTTATTGTATCCATAGTTTCGCTTTTTTTTCCAGAATGTCATTTATTTGGAATCATGCAGTATGTAGCCTTTTCAGACTGGCTTCTTTCACTTCGCAATATACATTTAAGGTTCCTCTGTATGTCTTTTCATGGCTTGATAGCTCGTTTCTTCTCATTAGAGCTGAATAATATTCCATTGTCTAGATGTATCACAGTTTATTTATTCATTCACTGACTGAAGGAAACTTGGTTGCTTCCAAGCTTTGGCAATTATGAATAAAGCTGCTGTAAATATCTGCGTGCAGATTTTTGTGTGGTCATAAATTTTCAGCTCTTTTGAGTAAGTACCAAGAAGTGTAATTGATGGATTGTATGGTAAGATCATGTTTAGTTTTTTTTTTTTAATTTTTTATTGTTATCATGTTTAGGTTTTTAAGAAATTGCTAAACTGTCTTCCCAAGTGGCTGTACCATTTTGCATTGCATACCAGCAGTATGTGAGAGTTCTTATTGCTCCACATCCTGGCCAGCATTTGATGTTGTCAGTGGCTGATACCAGTGTCTTGGTATCTTATTGTTTAATCTGCATTTCCCTATGATGTGGAGCATCTTTTATTATGCTTATTTGCCATCTGTGTATCTTCTTTGCCGAGTTGTTTGTTAATGACTTTGGCCCATTTTTTTAGTCAGTTATTTTCTTGTTGTTGAGTTTTAAGAGTTCTTTGTAGATTTTGGACTATAGTCCTCTATCAGATGTGTCTTTTGCAAATATTTTTTCCCAATTTGTGGCTTTTCTTCTCATTCTCTTGACATTGTTTTTTGCATAGCAGAAGTTTTTAATTTTGACGAAGTCCAGCTATGAATTCTTTTTTTAAAAGATTTTATTTATTTATTTGAGAGAGAGAGAGAGAGCATGAGTGGGGGGGGGGAAGGAAGAAGCAGGACACCCCCACCTTCCCCTCCACTGAGCAGGGAGCCTGACATGGGACTTAATCCCAGGTCCTGAGCTGAAGGCAGATGCTTAACTGACTGAGCCACCTAGGTGCCCCTGAATTATTTCTTTAATGGATTGTATCTTAAAAAGACCAAGGTCATCTAGGTTTTCTCCTATGTTATATTCTAGGAGTTTTATAGTTTTGCATTTTATATTTAAGTCTATGATCCATTTTGAGTCAGTGTTTCTGAGGGGGGTGAGGTCTGTGTCTAGATTCACTTTTTTGCATGTGGATGTCCATTGTTCCAGCATTATTTGTTGAAGAGACTATCTTTGTTCCATTGCATTGCTTTATCATTCGACCATATTAGTAAGGGTCCATTTCTGGGCTCTCTCTTCTGTTCCATTGATCAGTTTGTCTATTCTTTTGCCAGTACCACATTGCCTTGATTACTGTAGCTTTGCAGTAAGTCTTGGAGTTGGTAGCACCGGTCTTCCAGCTTTGTTCTCCTTCAGTATTGTGATGGTTATTCTGGGTCTTTTGCCTCTCCATATAAACTTTAGAATCAGTTTGTTGATGTTCATAAAATAACTTTCTGGGATTTTTATTAGGATTGCATTGATCAAGTTGGGAAGAACTGATGTCTTGACAATATTGAGTCTTTCTATCCATGAACATTGAATATCTCTTCATTTATTTAATCCTTCCTTGATTTCATTTATCAGAGTTTTGTAGTTTCTTCATATAGATCTTGTACACATTTCATTAGATTTATACCTAAGTATTTTTTTGGGAGGGAGGATGCTAATGTAAATGGTATTGTTTTTTTAAATTCCATATATTCATTGTTGGTATATTTTTAATTGAGAACACACTCTCTTCACATATGTTGAGGTACGTGTTAAGATCATAGAGCTGCTCTATGGAGGATATTTTCAATTCTTTCATCTACTCCCCCATACTGAGCTATTTAAATGTTTCAGTCCAGATATTTTACAGGGTTTGTCTTTTTGCCTGGAGAGGACTATGACTCCCTTCAACAAATATTTTTACAACACAGAACTTGTCATGTAAATTGTCAGTATTTATGGTTCTTTTGAAGGTTTCACCAAGTTTTCGTTGCTGCAATATCATAGGGCTTCTCAAATTTCACTTCAGTTCAGTATAGAATATGCCTACCCCATTAAAAAGAAGAACTTAATGAGGAGCAGTTTCTTCCCACAAGTTAAGATATTACCAAAGCATGATTACAATATTTCAAAGTTAAATCTTGTGCAAATTAAACCTATCTCATATCAATATTTTACTAAACCAAAAAGATTCAGGACAAATGCTACATCAGGATGCTGGGATAGCAGCATAACCTGGGATGATCCTGGCCAGGACTCACTCTGTGTAAAAGACCTTTCAGGATCTGGTCCAGCCTCATCTCTACAGTCCTCTTCCTGCCCGCTCTTTGCTTCTGTAGACTCATGCTGAGCTCCACTCTTTTGCATTTCCTGCTGCTCTGCGTAGAAACTCTTCCCTTACTTTTTCATCTGGCTAATTTTTCCTTATTCTATAATCCTAGACTTCTGGCATCGTTTTCTCTAGGGGCCTTCTCCTGATCCCTGTGAGGTGGGCTCTGCCCTATTCTTATTGCAGCCCTTCCATGTTGCATTGTTTTTGTTCAGGTGTTTCTCTTTCTTCACCTTTTCAAGACACTTTTTGTCCAATGTCCTATTATTTAAGAGTCCTCCTCTTTGCTTCCTATGGTGACAGTTATTGGATAAACTGATCTGTGCTAGGTGATAAGAGATTTTGATGAATTGCTTATCTGCTGCTGAAAACATATTTGTATTTCACTGAGGCCCACTGGGGCAGTGGTCTTCAGGTGGGTGTGCACACATTGGGTATTGTGCAAGACCATTTGTAAGGGTGTAGGCAGAAAACGTACTAGCTTTTATTTCTATTATTTTCTTGAGCAAAACTAAGAAATTAAGTTTTTTTTTTAAAGATTTTATTTATTTATTTGACAGAGAGAGCAAGAGAGGGAACACAAGCAGGGGGAGTGGGAGAGGGAGAAGCAGGCTCCCCGCTGAGCAGGGAGCCCAATGCGGGGCTCGATCCCAGGACCCTGGGATCACGACCTGAGCTGAAGGCAGACGCTCAATGACTGAGCCACCCAGGAGCCCCAAGGGTTTCTAATATTTAATATTTTGGTTGAGAAAAGTGCATGTATATGACTTTATAATCTAATGTGACATTGGTGATGTGTTCTGATTGACTGAGTGCTCCATTATAAAAATTGGAAGACCCTGCTGTAGAGGGTCATCCAATCCAAGACATCCCCAGCGGGTATCTCTTCCAAGTTTTCTGGCGCTACAATGATTTACATTTATCAAGTGTTTCCTACATGCCAGACACTGCTCTGTACGTACACTTTCTAGGTATCAACATACTTATTCTTCACGACCACCTTATGAGATTGGTACTATTATTAACATGCTCATTTTATGGATGAAAAAATCGAACCCAGATAATCAAGTAACTTTTTCAAGGATGGGGCTAGTACATGGTTGATTGAGTATAGAACTGGTGGAGAGTCTAATTCCAGAGGCCACTTGCTTACCCCCTGCTCTGTATTGTGCTCTGCTCTGGTGTCGGTCTGTTCCTATAGGATAGACACATGTGGCTTCCAGGAGGACCAGGACCATGTCTGTCTAGCTCATTGTGGTAAATACTTCTTAAATATTTGCAAGTATTTCTTAAATGAAGGAACTGTGAGGGTCCCTCCTCACCTCTGAATTCATGTCACTTAAGTGGGAACTTTGGATAAGTACTTTTATTTTTATTTTATTTTATTTTTTTATTTTAAATTTTAACTTGAAATATTTTTTCCCTTGAAGTGATTAGATTGGATGAGAAATTGGCATGAGTTAAGTTAGCAGTCCTATGTTTAGAAACTGTACATGAAAAGAAGTCTGCATGACTCGAATACCAGTGAGTCAGTTAGGAGTCCCAGCTCACCCCTGATGTGACTAAGCCTTCCTTTTCTTCCTTTATCATGAGGGTCTGAGAACATAAGAAATAAACCTCAGCTTCTTTCTCAACACAGATTGAAGTGTCCCTCCAATGTGTAGAACCTTAAAGCAGCAACAGTGACAACAAAAATGATAATGGAAAATAGCAGCAGAACTTAAACTGGTTTTTTTGGGGGGGGATTCACCCACTGATGGCTTTTCAAGTCTGGCTCAGCTTTCCTTAATTCTTTGGCACGAGGTTGTGTAGTAATCTCTCAGGTGTTCTGGGCTTTAATAAAATTGTTTTGTTTTGACCAAATAAGTTTGTGATTCTGTAAGCTTATGATTCCTTCCACATCTGAAAGAGTATTAGGAGAGTCTTCAGAGTTGTGTATTATATCATCATATTCAAATTATGACTCTATTTTCTTCCCTGTTTTGCTTTTAGGCTCTTTCAAGACACTTATTCTTCCATCAGTAAGTATCCATTTAAAAAATTTGGTTTCAGAAATATACATTGCATTGATCAGTGAAACAATTTAACATTTTGTTGGCCTTTATATCAGTTTGCATTCCTTGTGAGTTTGGCTTGAGTTCAGTTCCACCTTTAGATTAAGAATACTGTTACTTCAGGGAGATTGGTTATCAGCCTCTTCAAAGTCATAGCAGAGATTTTCCTTTTGTGAAATAGGGAACTTCACTGAGGGAAACTGGCCTGGACTGTTGCCACAGACACCTGCATCTGCCTTAAAGAACCTTAGAGTTTAGAGGGTGTAATGAACACTCTGTCCTTCAGTTTCTCCACCCCGGAAGAGTGGAGTGCCCCACTGAGCCATATTGAAGGCTGAGGCATTGGTGATACTGATCGTGTCTTTGTTTAAACTTTTTTTTTTTTGGATTCATAATTTAATTTTTTGCATTACTTCTATTTTAAATATTAAAATATTATTTATCTTGATTACTGAATTTTTTTGTCTCCTCCTTGAGTTTTGCACCTGAGGCCAGGGCCTCACCCACCTCACCCTTGTCCCAGCCCTAGAAAAGGGGATAAAGAAACTGCCTCTGTTTCACAGGGGATACCCCGGAGGTGAAGTAAGATGCGAAAGAGCTGTAAAATTTGCTATAGAAGAGGAAAGGGGTTATTATTTTGTTGAGAAAGTCATAAAACCTGATGATTACATGCTGTTTGTGAACTGACCCTACTTGTCATAGCTTTGATTTGGAAGTTTGTACTTTTATTACTGTGTTTTGTTTTGGAGCTTCACACTTTGAATATACAGTAGAGAACAGTGACCTCGCATCCAACAAGAGATGCCATTTGGTACACTTTTCTGAGAATAGATGACTGATGACTTTGTTAAAAAAAACAAAACTCAGCCTAGTAAATTTGAAGATCTAATTGGCTTTATTAAGCAGTCGGACAGGATCCCATCTAGCAAGTAGAGGGGAGCTCTAGTTGTACCATGTGGAAGATTTTTGTAGGAAGGAGGGTGGGGCAAGGAAGTTATTAGCAAAAGAAAAGAAAGAATTGTTCCAGGCAAGGTCACCTTCCCTTAGGGGGAAGGGCATGGGGTCTTATCCTGCAGATTACCTCATCTTCCTTTGGTGGTGGGGTGGGGATGGAGAGGGTCCGTGTGACAGATAACCTCATTGGTGCTTATCAGAAAGTTCCAGATTGATTGGCCTAAAAGTAAACTCCTGGAGAGGTTGAAACTGCAATTAAGTCTTGGTTTCCTCTTCTGGGAGCGAACTAGTCCACCTGGGGCCTGTGGTTTTCTTTTGAACAACTTTAGCCCTGACACTTTACATACTTAATGTAGGATCAGCATTACCTGATGAGCCAGGGTTCCCCATTTCCTCCATTACTTATTGAAGGTTATTTATGAAACGTATTCAGAAACCACATTCCTTTTTCCAGGGGGTGGGGGTGGGTCATTCCTAGAGAATATAGTGCTCCCAAACAGTAGTTTATAAAAATTACTTATATCCCATAGCTATTGTTTCTTACCTATTATGTTTGTGCCTTTCTTACTAAGAAATATAACTGCTTTTCTACTGTTAAATAGAAAGTAGGGAAAAAGAGGCAAAGCAGGTGGAAAGGGGGGGAACCCAATCTCAGTGATAATAAAACATTGCATTGCATTCATGTACGCTTAAACATTAGATGTTGGCCATGTGCTGTTGAAGGAATATTCCAATGAGAAGATTAAAATAAATCCTGTGTAATACAATTGTCCTACAGCAGAAAGGGGTGGGATTTAAAAATAATTAATTTATTTGAGAGAGAGCGAGAGAGCACGAGGGTGGGGAGGAGCAGAGGGAGAGGCACACTCCTTGCTGAGCAGGGAGCCAGGCGTGGGGCTCCATCCCAGGACCCTGAGATTATGACCTGAGCCAAGGCAGACACTTACCCGACTGAGACACCCAGGCACCCCCAGGAACCACAGTTTAAAATACAACTGCCTGGTTTCATCAGAGAAGCCTGCAGGTGCACGGGTTGGAGGTGTAGAAAGGCTGAGCAGAGAGGGCATCAGGCGGGACGAGGGCACCTGGGCTTGTTCCAGTAATCAGTTTATTATAAACTGTACTCGTCTAAACTATCATTAAGCTGGAATTTGGCTGCTATGATTCTTTTAAGTCTTACCTATGTGAAATAAGAACTCCAGCATCCTGTATTTGTCTTTAATATTAATGCCATTTCTATTGTTGTAGATATAGCACTTACCTATTGAGAGCTTTACTAGAGATTATATTTAGGACTATATCCCTTTTCTAGTAAAACAGAAATTTAAAGGCTTAGTCATAAAGTATCTGGGAAAATGTGATCATGCTTGGCAAAAATAAAGTTCTGTATTGTTATGAGTTTTCAGTTAAAATAGACCCAGCTTTTGGAGTGTGCCCTTGTATTCTGGTGTTTGTAAATGTAATATTTTAAATTGTTTTTTAAGGTTCTCATGAATTTTTGCTGTAAAATATGAATGTTTTACTGTATTGAAACAAATGTGTTTTTAATATCTGATTAGCCTATTGTTTCTACTTTTGATACACTACAAGCAGCTTTTAATAAGAAGTAAATAAAAAAACAATTGATGCTTAATTCAAAGATTATTTTTTGCACAAAATATGCTAGGAGAAATTTCTTTCATTCTCTCTGTAAATAAGTCCAACTTAAAATGCGGGAGTGGCTTTTAAAGTTAGAAATGTTTTTAAAGTTTATTTTATGCCTAATTAATATTTAAAAAAATATTTTTAATAGAGACTCTCATCTTAAATTCCTCAACTGTATTTTAAAAGTTTTTGAAATCTCCACTACTCTTAGTAACTAGCATTATTAATGAAATAGAGTAGGATAAATGCTGTTGTGTTGTCTCAGTTTCCTTGACAACTGATCTTTTAGAGAAGGCAAAATGGTTTTAGTCAACCCAGATTAGTTCCTTGACTATGAAGGATCTTTTTAAAATTTTTATTTATTTTTATTTTAAAGTAAACTGCCCAATGTGAGGCTCGAACTCACAACCCCGAGATCGAGAGTCACATGCTCCACTGACTGAGCCCCACCCTCCCCTCAAGGACCTTTTTGAGCATACCTTCCTTCAGTACCCTGGGCAAAGAGCAAACATTTCCTCAGAAAATTTGCATTTATGTATACACATGAATACACAGAATAAACTTTGCATAATGAGAATCTTATGCCCTGAGCATGCCCAACTCAGATGCTGGTCGATACTTTGCTGATCAAAGCCGGGTGATGTTTCACACTCCCTGACTCTTGGGCTTCTGCTAGATAGTGTCATCTGTGGGAATTGTCCCCTTCTCCAGCCATCTGCTCTCGGCTTAACATACAGGAATCCCAAATCTCTGTGGGTAAATAACTGGTTCTGTGTAAGAGATCTGGAAATCTTTGATGAGGGAAACTCTTTATTACCAATCCTGGGAACTCTTTCAGTAATTGTGACCCCAGAAGGCAGAAGGCAATTGATCAGCAGAGATTCAGGAGCTTTTACTTCTGGGGTCCTCTCCATTGTGGGGAGCAGGTTACAACCCATCCTAGGTCTGGTACAGCGAGAAACTTCCATAGAGATTGCTTACAATCCACGGTGTTTTCTTCAGTCTCCTCATTCTGCCCCTCTACTGTTAACAATGGAAGGCTAAGGTATCTACTACAGCTCAGGAGCTGTACTACCATGCGGAGTCTGCGGGGACACCCCAAGGCATATAGTGATGCCCCATGGCTTCTAGAGTCACCCCTGGTCTACAGATACACCAAGTTCACTTGTCATCTCTGACTTTCCAGCCCTGGGATTAACACTGAGGCTTTGAGCATCTTGAATTATGTAAATCTTACATATGTAGGAGGGGGAGGCAAGGTTTCTAATGGGGCAGTTGAGAAAGCAAATTACTCAGGGTAGCTGAACAGAGCAGAAAGATAGCTCTCTCCTCGTGAGGCAGTGCCGGCTCCCTGAAGGAGGATGGAGTAGGGCATGGAGAGAATGTTTTTGGACACATTTTGTGTTACATCTCCTTTAACTCCTTGGCGTTCTTGTGATTAATGGGCCTCTTTAGTTTTGGGCCTCTGCATCTTTAATTGGCCGTAAATCTTCAATCTACTCTCTGTTCTGGAGCCTAAAAATGATCAAACTATATCCAAACCATGAAAAGCAATCCTATCAAATATCATATTTTAAACACGAAGTATTTATGAATCTTTGCCATATGCCAGTATATGATATGCTGGCATAGATAGTGTCCTGCTTTTAGCATTAAAATATCTATTTAAAAGAATCTGAGAGCCGAGGTATCATTTGAGAAAATGAATATAAGAATGCAGGTTCCAAGGCTAGACTCCCAGCCCTACTAGGGCACACATCTTTGGTTCATGTTTTTTCCCAAGGACTTAGAACAACCTGGAGCTAGAAGGTGCTCAATAAATGTTTATTGAAGAAAAGCAGAAATCGACACTGGAAGTTATTTGACTGTGATGCTACTGATTGTTTTTTCTAACTTTTTATTAAGAAATTTGCAAATATACAAAAACTTGAAGGAGTTTCTCAGTGAACACTTCTATACCCACCACTCAGAATCTCCCATTAACATTTTGCCATATTTGCTCTGTCACATGTCTATCCATCTATCTGTTTCTCCATCCATTAATTCATCTTATTTTTTAAATGTATCTCCAAGTAAATTGTGGACATCAGTACTTATCTCCCTAAATATATATATATTTTATTTTATTTATTTATTTGACAGAGAGAGACACACAGTGAGAGAGGGGACACAAGCAAGGGGTGTGGGAGAGGGAGAAGCAGGCTTCCCGCGGAGCAGGGAGCCCAATGCGGGGCTCGATCCCAGGATCCTGGGATCATAACCTGAGCCCAAGGCAGACGCTTAATGCCTGAGCCACCCAGGTGCCCTCCCTAAATATTTTTTGCTGACCATTTTATTGGTGCTTTGTTACATTTCCTTTGTGTTCTTATCCATCTTGCTAGCTTTCAGGTAGCTGCTATGACTGGAAGATCTCCAAGCTTTCTGTGGACAAAACTTATTTGCAAAAATGAGTCAGAATTTAGTTTTAGAACCACAGGTTTATTAAGGTGAAAACCAACTGAAAGTCAGGTATGCTAGTCGTCTATTGTGTGACCGATCATCCCAAAGCTTTGGCATAGAACAGTAATAAACTTCTCTTGCTTCTCACAATTTCTGTGGGTCAGGAATATGGGAACTGCAGAGTTGGGCTGTTCTGATTTGGGATATTGCAAGGCTACAGTCAAGATGTCAAACTTGCAGTCACCTGCAGGCTTTACCAGGGCTGGGGTTCCTCTGTAAGGTAGCTCATTCACATGGCTATCAAGCTGGTGCTGGGTGTTGGCAGGAGGCCTCAGTTTCTCCCTTTGTGGGCCTCTCCACAGGCTTCTTGAGTGTTCTCATCATGGCAGTTGGATTCCCCCACAGAGAAGAATCCCAGAGAGAAAGAGAGAAGCAGGCAGAAGCTACCCTTTCTATGACACAGCTTCATTCTCTTCTTGAGAAGCAAGTCCCTAAGTCGGCAGAAGGTGGCTCTACCTTTGGAAGGGCAGAGAGTCGGAGAATGGTCAGACATGTTTCAAAGCCACCGCACGGAGGCTTTTGTTAGAGTAGCATAGCTCATTGTGGGTTTGCATCGCTGCTTGTGACCTGGAGCGACTTCCCAAACTCGTCCAAGCCCCAGTTTCCTTGTTTATAAAACGGTGTTAGTAAGAGCACCCGCCTGAAGGATTGTCGTCAGGTGAAATGACACAGTCGTGTAAACTGCTGAGTACGGCTTCGGGTCTGTTCCTGCTGGAAGGTCGGAATTCTGTTAGTAAGCACCTCAGGAGAGCAGCCTTGCTCCCATCCTTCCCCGGACCATGACCTGTGCTGTGCAGGGTGCAGGAAGCGCGTGCGTGGTAGGAAAGAGCTCCAGAGAGTACAGCAAGGAAATTAGTCTTGCACAAATGTGCTTTTCATCAGTTGACTGCCTCAACTAGGGAGACATGGAAAAAATGTTGAGAGATACTAGATATTCCGACCCACAGCAACCGCGAGGAAGAACTTGCACTTGGAATAGGAAATGACAAGGTGACTGCTGCTGAGCCCTCCATTCCAAGAACCCTGCAATTTAGCTGGAGAGAAAACTACAGGATGTTAGGAGGGAAAACAAATTATTTAATGTTGGTGCCTAGGAGGGGCGAGTTTTTCAACATGGCAATTACTTTTAATAGTACTACGGATTTAAATGTTCTAGTCTGACTTATAATTAAAAACACTTTTGAGGTAAAATGAGAATGTCATTTGTTTGATCTCTTTATTTTCTCCAGCTACCTCTGAACAGTGCAGATGGGATTTATGAGCTGCATGTAACTGGACGGGCCCAGGATGAGATTTTATTCTCTAATAGTACGCGCTTATCATTTGAGACCAAGAGAATGACTGTCTTCATTCAAACAGACAAGTCTCTATACAAGCCAAAGCAGGAAGTGAAGTTTCGTATTGTTACACTCTTATCAGATTTTAAACCTTATAAAACTTCTTTAAACATTCTAATTAAGGTAAGTGCCAGACAGAAATAAAGTAAGTTCAAGTCATCTTACTAAAGCTCTCTTTGAAGTCTTGCTCATGTTACTTTAGAATTCACCATGGGTAACCGTCCCTCCCAACATGAGAATGCCCTCTCTTGGAGGGGATACGGTAGAGCAATGGGCTCAGAGCTTAGGCTCTGGAGTTGGCCAGCTTGGGCTCCAGTCCTTGCTTCTTCATTGATTGATTCATCTGTTCAAGATTTATTGAACTTCTGTGTTCAGAGCCCTGGGACGGGGCAGTGAACAGAACAGATTAAATCCCCTGCTCACATCAAGCGTATATTTCAGTGAATAGTGTGGAGACAGACACTAAATAAACACATAAATATGTGTTATGAAGGGGGGCGCCTGGGGCCTGGGTGGCTCAGTCGGTTGAGCATCCAACTTCTGATCTCAGCTTGGGTCTTGATCTCATGGTTGTGAGTTCCAGCCCTGCACTGGGCTGTGCTCTGTGCAAGGAGCCTACTTAAAAAAAAAAAAAAAAAAAAAAAAAAAAAAAATATATATATATATATATATATATAAAGGAATTGTGTGTGTGTGTGTGTGTGTAAGAAAGTGTTTATGTTTGCTATTTTCCCTAGGATTGTTAGGCTAGTCCTATTTGAACAGAGACCTAAAGGAATTTAAGGAGTGAGCCCATATACAGGGAACAGCTGTGTAAAGTTCTGAGGTGGGAACTTGTTAGGTGCACTGGAGAAAAAGAGGCTGATAGTGTCCCGGGGAGTGAGGGGACAAATATTAGGAGATGAGGTAAGATACAGGTGGGTTGGAGGAGGGGTCATACAGGGTCTTCTTGATCATCATATGGACCTTGGATTTTACTCTGAGTGGAATGGGAATTCACTGGTGAATTATGAGGACAGGCATAACGTGATTTGACTTATAAAAGGATCACCATCTGCCCTAAGGAGAGTAAATGCTAGTTGTGTGACCTGGAGAAAATTCATCTCTCTGAGCCCTAGTTTATTTCTAAAATGCATAATAAAATGCATAAAATAATAATTTCTAAAATTTCTAAAAAAATATTTCTAAAATGGGCACCTCAGTGGCTCAGTCGTTAAGCGTCTGCCTTCGGCTCAGGTCATGATACCGGGGTCCTGGGATTGAGCCCCGCATCGGGCTCCCTGCTCAGCGGGAAGCCTGCGTCTCCCTCTCCCACTCCTCCTGCTTGTGTTCCCTCTCTCGCTGTCTCTCTCTGTCAAAGAAATAAATAAAATCTTAAAAAAGTAAAAAAAATAAAATGCGTAATAATAATAATGTCTCACAAAGGTTTCTGTGAGATAATCCAAGGAAAGCATGTAGAATTATGCCTGCCACATAGTACATGCTCACTAAACATTAGCTCTTCTGTTTATGGGGCTCTCCTTCGGCAGGGAGTCATTTGGCCTCAGCTCCAACAACACTGAGGATCTGGAGGCCGCATAGTTAGACTGAATGCTTTCCTGTGAGAACCAAGTTGAAGACAACTGAGATCCAGCTGGACCTGCTTTTCTACATTGATGCTAAGGAGAATATGAGACATTTGATCCCTACATAGAAATAGGGTGGTGACAACCCATCCCAGTTTTCCTGGGACTCTCTTGGTATTACGACCGAAAGTCACTGGTCCTGGGAACCCTCTTGGTTACCCCAAGGATTCTGATGAATACCATGGAATGGAAGTCAAGTTCAGGCTTTTTTAGTTCAGTATCTTCTTATTCTTTTTAACTTCTTTGTTATAAATTAAACTAAAAAGCAAACAAAAATCAAGCGAACTTCAAGCCAATTTGTGTTTGTAATAAATACAACATTGGTCAGCATGGTGCTCAATGCATATTTCTTGAATTTCCAAGAATTGCAGCTCTGTGAATTTCCGCTTTTGCTATGTATTGGAATGTCTATAAAGGAGGTTGACATAGTGAATAGCATTTCTTTTTTTTTTTTAGCGATTTTATTTCATTTTATTTATTTATTTGAAAGAGAGCACAAACAGGTGGAGCAGCAGGTAGAGGCAGAGGGAGAGGGAAAAGCAGGCTCCCCACTGAGCAGAGAGCCCTACATGGGGCTCGATCCCAGGACCCTGAGATCATGACCTGAGCCGAAGGCAGACACTTAACAGACTGAGCCACCCAGGCATCCCACTGAATAGCATTTCTAAATTCAAGTAGTTCTCTAAGCAGGGTTTTATGGATTGCATTCATACCATCTTTCAAATCATCATCTTCCTGTTTCTGGCTGTTTCTGTCCAGTCGGCCTCGTTCTACCTGTGGTAATAAAAGTCAGCACTGGATAAATTGCCTGCTTTAGGCATTAATCCAGAAATAACCCTGCAGATGCTGGACAAATTCCTTACAGGAGTTTTTGTGAGGATTAGGTGAGATAATTTAAGTAAAGCATTTAGAACTGTGCTGGTCTGTGCATTTTTATTATTTTGCCTCTCTATGCTGCTTTAGGATCTGCCTTTGAAACCTTCAATTTGTACTCTTGGGCTCTTCTCTCCAATTTTGAACCTAGCTTGCCACATTTGACTTTCTCAGAAGCACTCAGAGAAATCTCTGGTCCTAGTGGCCTGGCCAAGATGTGGCCTTCTTGGCCAAGGGAGGGGAGTTTACACTTGTTAGAAATCCACCTGGAACCCAGAGTGTTTGGGCACAGGTGACTGGGCGGGAAGCCATCCTCTGCTCTGTGCATCTAGGCAATGAGGCTGGGGTATGAACTCAGGTCCAGCCTCCTCCTTCCCTGTAACTTGCGGCCAGATCGGAGTTTTGATGCCCACACTGCTGTCCTCCTTCATCTGAAAACAGTCATTTGGGCCAGACTGTGATGTTTTCTCCATTTTTGAGTGTGAAATAGTTGGTTTCTTGGCAAAACTTCCCAGAAAAAAGTAGAACTTAGCAAAAGAGCCCCTGACGTGAATCCATTTGTACTTCCTAGTACAGCACCACCTGCAGGCTCTGGTGGAGAAGTGCATCTGATGGCTAGGAGGCTGACTTCTCAGGACCCTCTGGCCCAGTCAAGACCCTCAGTGATACTGTCAATAACGGTGGAACGGGACAGATGTAACAATGTAACGGGACAGATGGTAGATATACTTGTGGTGAACGCAGCGTAAGGTGTGAACTTGTCAGATTGCTAAGTTGTAAAAGAAAAAGAACGGCTGTAGGATGTAGCTAAAATATTGATTGTCACAGCATATTCAGGGGTGATCAGTGGGGTTTTTTTTGGTCTTATTTTTTATTTTTATTTTTTTTTGGTTATTGGGTGTTACTCATTTTGCCTGCCTCAGTAACTGACTTTCTCAGGAAGAAAGGGCCTTCAGAGCCCTTTGGCAGTGGTAAAAACATGCCCTAATTCCGGCTTCCTCCAGCTAACCTGGGCTAACGCTATGGAAATAAGCTTCTTCGACCGTGGCCTGGCAGCTGGCTCAGCTGGCTTGTGCCCTGACCTCCTTCTTGAAGAAGGTGTTGCTCCTTGTCCAGGTGAATGACCTTGCCTGGGGAGAGGTGTTGTTGCCTTGGGGAGATGTCTTGTGATTGTGGCCCGGAGGAGCTGTGGCAAAACCAGGGCGTCATCCCTGGTGAGGTGAGGGGGCCACCTTGTTTAAGTGATTTGACTTCTCCAGTTCTACATGCTAGACAGACCCTGGGTACATAATCCAGGACTTTAACGAGTGGCAGAAATTCTCCTTGGGGACACGTTCTCCAGCCAGGGAGCTTATTGCTGGAGACGGTCTGGCCCAGGCAGCTGATACTGCGCTGAGCTGAGGCACCTGACAGAGATCCAGAGCCATCTAAAGGTGACTCAGAGGGCACAAGGAGCCACGCTTGCAGCCCCTCCGGCTTGTGGCTGTAGTGGCTGTGCCAGGGACACGGTTCACATGGTACCTGCTGTCCTGTGTGGGACCTCGCAGGAGATGCTGGGTTCTGCTGTGACACCACCACGCATGGCCCGCGCACATCCTGATATGTGAAAACTGGTGTTTCTCCACTCTGTCTGTTTTTGGTGACAGTTAGGTCTAGGTCTAAGACAGGCTTGAGCAACCAGTGAATTATCTCATTCACTCCCAACCCTCCAGGTCCTCGGGGTACAAAGTCATCAAAGACTCCATTTAGGACTTCCTTTGCTTGTAGGGCCGTAGCCCACCCGGGAGAAATGTGCACCCTCACCAAAATAATGTACCAGCAGAGTACGAACATTCCTTTTCTGACAGTTTATATAACACTGGGGATTATTGTTATTTTTTTATTTTTGTCAGACGGACAGAAGAAAATGGTATTTTTGTTTGTTTTCACTTGCATTCCCTTAATTATTAGGCAGCATATATTTATTAGCTATTTGTAGTTTTTCCTTTTCTTAAACTCATGTTTAAATGCTCGTGTGTGTGTCTCCCATGCATCATGCTGTGGCAGGCACAGGAGAGCCGGCTGCTGATTACAGTGCCCGTCCCAGGAGTTTGCCAAGGATGGTGACCTGCCTAGTCTTGACTTGCTTTTGGTCTTTGGTTTTAACAATTAGTTTCTGGCTTACTAGACTACGCTTTGCTTAATTCTCAGCATTGTACTTACCTCTGACTTTCACCTTTTCCCCCACTCGGGAAGAGAGGTTTCTTCTGGCTTCTAGTAACTGGGCTAACCCACTGCCTCTAGTCAAAGGATAGAGCATAAGAATACGGGAAAATATTTGATCCCTGCTCTCAGGAGTTCACAGTCTAGTTGGGAACAAAAAACCCCATATATCACCCATGAGTACCTTACACAGTAATACGTCTTAAAAGGGGTAGACTCTAGGTGTACTAGGGGCTCTCCAGGAAGTGGCCATTTCGTCTGTTGGCGGTGTGGATAGGAGGCAAGACACTGGAACTTATTGTACCAGTTGGCAGGAAGGGAGGGCATTCCATGCAGCAACTATAGAGGCCTAGATGCAAGGGTGAATTGCAAGCAAATCTGTATGTTTGGAGGAAGATGAGCGTAGAAATGTAGATGGAGTCAGACTCCTAAGTTCTGTACACCATGTAAAGGAGTGTAGACCTCATTCTGTAGGCAAACAAAAGCCAGCATCACCTAGTGGTCCAGCGTAATGATCACAGCCAGGGTGTCTTCACTGTCTGTTGTATGTCTGGAACTGGACCAAGCATGTTGACCACTTTGGCTCAGTCTGAGGTTTGTGTTTCAGGTGGATAACCCTGTCGGCAGTGGGGAAGATGTCTTGGAGGGGCTACACTGGAGGAGGGAGATTAGTGGTAATGGTTAGAAAACGGGATGTGGTGGCTGGATGTGAGGATGGAAAGAAGGGGATAAATTAGAGAGAGATTAAAGAGACGGAGTTGACAGAGCTGGGAATGTGCGAGGAATCCGGGATGGCTGCTGGATTGGCTTGGATGAATGCTGCATAAGGGGATTGTTGTCTGGGAGAGTTTAGGAAGACTGAAATGTTTTTCATGCATCCCCTTGGCTGAGCATCTCTGTGATACATTTTGTTGGATTAAAAGGCACATGGATTTGAATCCTGAATTCACATAGTACTGACAGTTGAGTGCTTACCTAACCTCTCTAGGAATCAGTTTTCTGCTATAATGTGAGGACATTCCTCTCCTGGGGGAGAATTACAATGATTTTCTTAAATTTTTATTAAAGATTTTATTTATTTGTTTGACAGAGAGTGAGCACAAGTAGGCAGAGTGGCAGGCAGAGGGAAAGGGAGAGGGAGACTCCCCATTGAGCAGAGAGCCCGATCTGGGGCTCGATCCCAGGACCTGAGTGGAAAACAGACGTTCAACCAACTGAGCCACCCAGGCGCCCCAGAATTATAATGATTGAGTGATGTGTGAGTTGTAATGATAAGACAGAGTGCTTGACACGTGGTGGGCCTTGAATACACGAGGCCTGTGATCTCTACAGTTAACAATAACAACACAAGTTTGGTGGTGTACATTGTCTTCCATGTAGAAGGAAATCTGGTACCAAGAATTAAAAGGTGGAGCAGAATAAAGATGGAGAATGTGAGGAAGGAAGAAATTTTGATTGTCTTCTGTCTAGTAATATATAGCCAACATTTCCCAAAAACTATCTCTGTTGCCGTATTTTGGATGTGCCTGGGAGTGCTGCAGGGCATCATTCATAACTAGATAGGATACACATGTACAAAGCTGTCTTTATACAGTTAACATGTATGGTTTTCATTGTAGGACCCCAAGTCAAATTTGATCCAACAGTGGTTGTCAGAACAAAGTGATCTTGGCGTTGTTTCCAAAACTTTTCAATTGTCATCCCATCCAATACTTGGTGACTGGTCCATTCAAGTTCAAGTGAATGTGAGTATAAATGTATTTTTAGGGGGAATGCTAATATGATTTAAATAGGTCAGGTGGGGAAATATCTTCAAAGTCATTTGTTCAATGAACAGAAAAATGTTAATCTGAATATCTAGACAATTTAAGTGGTTTATTTTTAATTTACTGTGTTTATCAATGGGTCAACTTTCATTGTAACATATTAGAATTTTAGTCATTACTGCTTTTTTTCTGTAATACAATGTTTGAAGGTTAAAACATTGCCTTTTAGTGTAAAACTGATTAAATAATGTTCATTTTACTTATTTAGTGCATACGTTGAGTATTTTAAAACTAAGCAATGAATACATAGTTATTATTTGGCAGATTTCATGTCTCTGAATAATGACTCCTGATGAGATTGGACTAACCTACTTTATCTTTGTTTTAAAAAACAGTGGTTTTCGGAGGTGGGTGGGGGGGTGGGGTAACTGGGTGATGGGCATTAAGGAGGGCACTTGAAATAATGAGCACTGGGTGTTATATGCAGCTGATGAATCAGTAAATTCCACCTGTAACTAATAATACAGTATGTGTAAACTAAATTGAATTTACATAAAAAATTAAAAATAAAAACCACAGTGATTTTAAACAACCACACTAATTTTCTGTTCCCCAGTCCTCTTTCTCTCCAACTTCTCCACCTGCTTCCTTTGTTCACTGCCAACTTTTGTAGCTCTGAGACCTAACAGGGTAGGTGCACAACGCCCTCCTCTCTCTGCCCTAGGTTCTCTCCTGCATATCACTGTGTGATGTTAAAGACTCATTGAATATTTTCCCATTTTCTTTGGTATTTATTAAAAAATATATAAATGTATGAATAAAAGCTTTTAAAAATAGTTCTATTAAAGTAGCTTCTCACTGCTGACATTTTGGACGACAGCTCTTTGCTGTGGGCATTGTCAGGTGCACGGGAGGATGTTTAGCGGTATCTTTGCCCTCAACCCTCTAGATGCCAGGAGCAGCTTTCTCTTCCCTCCGATGTGACAAACACGCATGTCTACAGACATCATCAGTGTCCCCAGGGGAAAATACCCTCTCTCTCCACCATTGAGAACCACTTTATTAGAGGGAATAATCATTCATTAGCATACGACCTTAAGTGAGATAAAAGTACCAAGTGCTTCATCCATAAAAACTAAAAAAAAATTTTCCCCTTTAGTTAACACATTTTGGGGTGACATCCTAAAAGCAGAACTCGTCCCTCCTCACCAGTACGTGTTTTGAGCACCCACGTAAAGATGAAGAGCGCCGTCGGCCTGTGGAGAGGTGGTGCTGTGGAGGGAGACACGTGGGCAACAAGAAAATGTAGAGGGGTGCTCGGGGATTAGCGGGTGATGAGCCCTGAGGGGACCAGACATTTGTGCTTACAGAGGAGGAGGAGAGTGGATGTTTGGGAGACTTCAGAGAGAGAAAGCTGTGTGTAGAGGCGGGGAAAATGCAAGAGAGCCTCACAGGTCTCGGGGTGTGGGAGAAGTCTGGTGCTCCTGGCACGCGTGGAGAAGGATGGGAGTTGAAGATGAGGACGTATGCATGAGTTTGAGGGAGTTCAGGGTTTATTCTCAGTACCCACCTTTGCTTTCACCGTAAACTCTCCAGGATCAGTTGTTTGTTTATCCATCCGTCTGTCCATCTTTCCATCTGTCCCTCTGTTGAATATGTGGTGAGGGCTCATAGGGCAGTGGTGGATACAAGGAAGTAAACACGTGGAATCTCAGGGCTCATCACCCGCTAACCCCCGAGCACCCCTCTCTGTTCTTGAAGATCATCGTGTGCTGACAGGAAGAGTAGGATAAAAGCTGACTAACACGAGCGTGACAGAAAACCCAAGGCAGCACAGCAGCGGAGGAACTGCAAAGTGCTGAGTCAGTGAGGTCCAGCGGGTGCTTCTAAGGCTGCAGTCTCACTGGGACTAGCGTGGGATAAAGAGGGTTTATTTTAAGGACGAGCGCTGATGCTTTTGGGGACACGGTTCCCTCCGTCTCTTGTGGCCTGTGTCACTCTCCTCTCGTTCTTCTGCCAACCTTTAAATCCGAACCGGTTGCAGTGGCTAAATAACCAATATCTCAGAGCCCTACAAGCCAGCCTCTTCACCGGTGGCTGGCAAGCTGTGGACGGGCTCCCTTTGGGTCAGGTGTCCATTGTTGGCCCATTCAGAGGCACCTCTGCACACTGGCCAGGTGGGGTGGCAGCCTCCGAGAGGTTAGTTTGTTCAGTGAGTGGTGAACAGAATATGTACCAGAAGACAGAGGGCGATAGAATAGTGGAGAAAGACTTTGGAAGATAAGAGATCATAGGTTGGAAGATTTACAGGATTTCTCATGCTGTGGTTTGTGGACTCGACCTGTCATGTTGCTTTGGCAGGAAAAAAAGACAAGGAAATGTAGGTACTTACAAAATTCAAATCGTTGACAAGATTTGGCCTTTGCCCACATCTAAAGCCTTGTTAAATGCCACCCTTATCCTTGAACCCTATGCTTTAGACATATTATGTCCTTTAAGTTTCTTAAACTCACAGTTCTGTCTGATTCTGAGCCTTCCCCATGCTGTTCCCTCTGCCTGGAACACTCTTTTTCTGCTGTAATTCTAGAGGCTTGCTTTTGCCCTTTGGGCATCATCTAAAATGGCCTGATCCCTCTAGACATCCCCAGAGCACTCTGTGCTTCTCTTGGTTTATTCATGTCACTTTTAACTGGTGGTACCTAATAGACTGTGGTCTTTTGGGGCTTGTTTGCATCTGTATCTCAGTGACTTAGCACATGTTTTGTGCTTGAATATTAGTCAGTATTTATTATATGAGTGTATTAAAGCTCTATGATAATCATTTGTATTGAACTAAATATAATTTCTCCTTTTCCACATTCTGTAAAGCATCTTCGTCTTTTAGAAGACAAGCATATTGATCAGGTACTTATTATTGGTGATTTTTTTTCCCTCAGTTTTATTGAGGTACATTTGACAAATAAAATGATGGGATATTTTAAGTGTACAATGTGATTATTTGATATACATACACGTTATGAAAAGATTCCTTCCAGGTGATATAATGTAAAGGCACACACTAAGGGAAAATAAGCACTTTTATTTAAAAAAAAAAAAAAAAAAAAAAAAGTCCTTTAAAGGCCTCCAGGGGTCAGTATAATCAAAGAAATGTTATGGGACGCAAACCCAGACTCAGTCTTTGTCTCTGGTTTTTATCTTTCCTTGACTCCTGCATAGCATTCAAAGACTGTTTATCGGTTATTATTAAACTCTTTTTTTTCCCCCAGCAGTGAGTAATGACTATGGTGGAAATGTATTTATTATTTAAATAGTCCACCACGGTAAACTATATTTTCGTTTTTCTAAGGCACTGACCATTCTCAGTATAAGTCTCAGGGAGGAGAAAATACTTATTTCAGAAGAATGTTTGAAATTCCATTTGTTTCTAGAAAAAATATGGAATGATCCTAGTATTACACATATCAGAGCTTTGATTTGTAGTGACTGTGCAGATTATCAGCGTGGCATTCTTAAATCACCCTTTTTGCTAGGTCAGGAAAAGGATTCTTTAGGTACAGCAAACTTGGTGGGTTCCTTGGCATTTCTACAACTATAAAATATACGTTTATGTGAATGAGTCATTTACTATACGCTAACCTTTCTGGATTACTTACATTGCTTTTGACCTTCAAGTATTGGTTTTCACTTTCAGGATTTTTTTATAATGAGTAATTATTTTGATTTAGTAAGATTTCTAAGTTTTTGTTCTTATTTTTATCTTTTTATTGTGTAGCATATAATGGTAGAGCATAGTAAGTTCCTTATATATTCATAGACCTGCTTTTTTTACAACGCTAATTTAATTAAATTGCAAAGCTACTCTTGATGATGGTAACTCTTAAGCTCTTTTAAAATTAGTAAAATTTAGTAAGAGCACTGATTTTTTTAAAAAGATTTTAGGTATTTATTTGAGAGAGAGCCCAAGCTGGGGGAGCATCAGCCAGAGGGAGACGCAGGCTCCCCGCTGATCAGGGAGCCCAACGCGGGACTCGATCCCAGGACCCTGGGATCATGACCTGAGCCGAAGGCAGACGCTTAACTGACTGAGCCACCCAGGCATCCAAAAGCACTGATTTTTTATGTGTGCTACTTATGCATGTACTGAATTTGTATACCTGCCTGGAATGTGGATAGTTCTTTGCTGTGTTGGGGACTGTGCTTCTTCTCTTGAGAAGAATCACCATCCTTTCTACCTCTTCCAGCCTCCTGCCCCAACATCCTTTCTCCCTTAACTTCCAGGGGCACCGTGACCTCCCCTCAGAGGGAAGAAGTTTATTTTAGCTGTAATACCTCTTCATAGTAGTGTGTATTACAGAGTTGCTATATTTCAGGTACATTAGAGAACAAGTGGGGAGATGTGCTCCATTTTAATAATCATCTTACAACTATCCCTTGGGCAGATAACCTGTGAAAGTTAGACATTGCTTATATTTTCGTTTTTTTTGTAATGCTTCTCTAGGTGCCTTATCTCTCTAGGTATCTATCTCTTGACTGGTATCCTTGGCTTTCCCAAATAGTTGCATATTTTTTTTCATTTTTTAAAATTGTGGGAAAATATATGCGGAATTTACTATCTTAACTATTTTTGAGGGTACAGGCCAGGGGTATGAAATACATTCACATTGTTGTGCCTCTGTCACGGGGCTCCATCTCCTGAACTCTTTTCATCTGGCAGAACTGAAACTCTGTAACTAAACACTAACTCCCCAGTCCTCCTCTTCCCCAGCGGGGGGCAGTCATAGCTCTCCTTTCTGCCTCTATGAGTTTGACTATTCTAAGCACCTCATATGGGTGGAGTCATATAGTATTTGTCTTTTTGTGACTGGCTTATTTCACTTAGCGTAATAACCTCAAGGTTCATCCAGATGGTCGCACATGTCAGAATTTCCCTCCTTTTTAAGGCTGAAAAATATTCTATTGTATGTATATACCAGGATTCA